ATCATGGTGAAAATGTGTGTGTGTGACACTTTTTCATTAAACGTTAGTGACTCATTCACCTCTAGTTCGAAAGGATATTGTGATTAAGCTATGTTATTATTTAGATTACAAACTAGGGGGTGAGTAAAATCTCTTTTAGTATGATAGATAATTCTGAAACTATCTAGGTTAAACAAATATTGAAAACTTGACAGCCCTGGACACCCATTTTGTTCAAGCATAGGACTAATAAGTAGTGTACATTCATGAATCCGTACGTGAATGCCCCACCCGTAGACCCCTGAGATGTGATCCGAAAGTGTAGAAGTTTCACTTCAATTGATCCACAACATAACGCGACTATCTTACATTATCTTTAGTAAGTAACTATCTCACATCCGACACAGTGAAACTCCATTGATCATGGTTTCTCACTAGAACTCTGGAAATATCCCCTCAAGATCAATCACTAGTAAGCACATAATGATTATCAATATGAGGTTGTGGAGATTGTTGAATTTCATTAAAATCTTGAATCGATTTAAGTGAGATCACAACCAACAATATACTAATAAGGAATAAACAAACATTCAGTGATTCTTCAAATGATATGAAGTGAAGAAAACTATTTGTAAACTAAATCAAATCTCCAGAAATCAACCAATTAAATAATACAGTGGATTTATCTCATATGTGATTGTGCGATAATCTTTGTTGAATTCATGTGTGATAACTATCGTCAATTTTTTATAATCCATTTAGTTTCTTGTTACACATACTAAATTCCCGTAAATGATAGGTTTGAACTCAGTTAAGTTATGATCGATATAAGCTAAATATACTAGATCATAGTAGGAAAAGTCGTTGGTACTAAAAGCTACCAAATATGAAAATAACCTTCAGAAATATATTAATACTCTTTGAAATATAAGAATCAGCTTCTAATTACTTAATATTAGTCATCATTTATGCAAAGAAGTCAAAACATCGTTATGGACAGTATATTTTATCAATGATTGATCGAGTAGTAATGTCCATGATCAACCTCAAATCCCCTGGAACGGGCGAGAATTAAGAGAGTCTGCTCTCCGTCTAGAAATACTCTCATATAGTCACGCGTATATTGCCACTGCCTCAGAAGTCCTATTCACTACCTTCTCGAGGCGGGGGTGTTATTTACGGAATTGAGAGAACGATAAGCGAATGTCTGGTGTCTAAATCGGGTTGATGGGTACAGAGGATTCACCTAGGGGAGTTGGAAAGCCCTGATTCCAAACAAATGGTGTACATAAGCTCCAGAATCCTGAGGGAACAAATGGCGTATGAACGTATTGTAAGTCACCGACTACCACGGGATAGCAACTCTTGAATCCGACCTCTATTTGAAAGACTCGGGTTCTGGTCTCATAAGAAAACCTGAGGACTATGCTAGATCACACAAAATATTCAATGACTTGCGTGGCTTATATTTATATTGGTCTCCCTTTGTACTATTGTTTATGTATTTAGAGAAATCAAAAATAGTGTCCGTGACTGTGAAGAAGACCAATAATAACCATAATCGTAGGAGAAAAATACATTTATTCAATCCTTTCTACTGGTTTTAATGGTGGATGATATTTAATTAAATACATATCTGAAGAATCTAAGCGTTATGTTTGAAGAAATTCATGATTATATTGTATCTTTGGTTCAATTGATTTCTATCAACACACTCATGTACAACTATTGGTGAAAATTTGTGACCGACGTAGTTCAACTTCGTCCGTGTCAATGTCCAATATTTTCACATGAAGTCGAAAATAGGAACCACTGGGATTTGACAAAATAGTTTCAACATACAGCGATTATTGCAAAAATCTAGGTCAATGGTTTATGCTCTGCACAGAAACATGGTTACATACGGGGAAGGTTTAAAATGATGTCTGCTGTTCCATAGTTTTCAATCCACTCCAAGCCATTTCCAATCCTTGATGAGAATCATTTTTGGGTTGAATAAGCCACCGCAAGTTAGTAACTTGCTAATAATCATCTATGTGCTCACTTCCATTGAAATTCCAGAACTTCACATGACAATCCATAACCAAGTGGGTATAACCATATCTGACTTGAAATACGTATAATAGATATCAGATTATTTTTCATCTACTAGTCATTATTTTCGAACTAAGAATTCACTTTATCTAAGTCATTTTCAACATTATAATGGTATTAATTATTATAATCAGAGGGGTTTTGTGAATACTGACTGGCTCAATGGTCTAGAGATTAAGCGTTCGCCCGCAATACCAATAGGTCCTGGGTTCGAGTCCCACGGGGCGATATTGTAAATGCTCACTACTGAGGAATCCCATACTAGGATGAAACGGCCATCCAGTGCTTTCAGGTTTTTCATGGTTGTCTAGCTTTAATTATTAATTTCACTATTTTAAATGGTTACGTGTGGAATTCCCACTCCCAAATTTATTCAAATCTATAGACAACTTTCATTGTAATAGTAATTAGTTCTTGAATAACTTACAAATATTCCAACTTAATACTTTTCTCTTAATCAAAACCAACCACGAAAGCGGTTTTAGAAAAATCATAAATCAACACTATTCCATTACTGTAATAACAAGAAATTCACGTTTATTTCAGAAGACATAAATTTAGTTGTTGTTGTTGTTGTTGTTGTTGTTCTTCCTGTTGATTTAAACATTCTGTATGTATACATGTATGTTCATATATTTATATATAATGATAATAATAATAAATTAAATATTATCCTTCTTTACTTAAAACATACTACTGAATAATTTAAGAATCATAGTAGTATGTTGATCAACATCGGAATTATTGTCAATTGTTTACATAATCCTTTTATTGTTGTTTATCACGAAATCATTAATTTATGAGATATTATTATTTATGTAATATATTTCAATAGACAAGTAAATAAATAAGGTATAATTCATTGATTGTGATTATCATTATTAGAATAACAAAACAAAAGATAACCCTATAATCATAATGATTATAATGTTATAAATATATATGATGTCCATAATTCAGTGGAAAAGGAACATTAATCATTTGATTCAATAAAATTCCCTACTTGGGAGATAATCAATATTTGGATAATGTTATCATATTTTAACATTGTGAATTAGTATTAGCTAGACCATCAGTGAAAATTTGGAAGCACTGGGATTCTTTAGTAGTGCGTACCCAATATCCGAGTATTGGAACCTGAGATACTCGGTCTCGAACGTGATCCTTTAATACGTAAGTTACTTAGTCAGGTAGATCCAATGATGCTGATGTGTAATTTCAATCAGTTCAAGATATTCCACAACCTTCATCGATTACATGCAATGGGTAACTGTCTCATACCTGTATTTTTTTATTAAACACGTAAACGTTGGTACAAGGGAGCAACAAACACTTAATCATTCGATTTCTGAGTGGAATTAGATACTGTCCGGGCACCAAAACCGAAGCAGATGGTTTCCTTAGGGGAGGTCACTCCTTGAACCTTTGATATAGAGGTCGAATTCACAAGGAGGTACAGTCCTATGGTAGTCGGTGACCAACAATAAGTTCATACGCACCATTGGTTTGGAATCATGATTTTCTAAATGCCTTATGTGGATCTTCCATACCCACCAACCCGGTTAAAGCTGTAGACATTCGCTTTACGTTTTCTCAATTTCGTAAATGCGATTTGAACTCTACTGGTCACAGTTTCTCACTAGAAATTCATCGTTTTAATTTTGATCTCCATGAATCTACCTATATTAAGAATGGTTTCATATCTTATGTGATTTTTTAAAACTTGAAAACATTACTAGTTTCGTTTACCAGGACGTCTCCAATGAATCATGTTGTTAAGTACAAATTACCTGGTTGGGATTAGCATGATTACCGTATCTAGCGGGTTCACAACGTTGAATGTTATGGCAAAGAATTAATCGCAATAGCTCAGATACATTTGCTTCTTATCTTCCTTTGGATCTTGAGTTTAAAATGATCCCTTACTTTTCATTCCACAAACTTACTTATCATTCTCGAATCATATTACTTATTCCTATTTTTTTAGTGCTACAGCTGACAGTACTAGTATGTCTATCATTCTGACATTTGTTTTGATAGTTTCATCTCGCTATCATGACTTGATGTTATAACTTAAGACGGGTCCATATATATGCCACACTTTATGTTTCGTACAACTAACAATGTCACTTATTATCAATCAAAAATATCTTTGAATTATTGGTTGAGCATGACCAAGTTATCAGATGAGTAGTATTGAGATCAATTGTACATTGTAGTTATATCGATTGATGACATTTTAAGTGATTAAAACACTTATTACGCATGCCTAGTTATTACATAACTTAATACACAATACTGTTTAACAATGGAACATTTTGTATCATCCTTAAAGCCTATCAAACAGAAACATTTCATGAGCTGATGATTTTAATCGTACGATAAGACACAGATTAACGGATTGAACAAGTGTTGTTCAGCATTTAGAACTAGGTCACATAGATACAGCTGTATTCATTTTTTTTGTTGTTAATCTCTTTTAAATTTAATTCTGAGTGTCACTTTATACTTTCCATTCTTTTTTTGGTTTTGTAAAACTATATTGTTTCTATGTTCGGTCTTATACTACAGAAAATACTATCATTCTTGATGAATTTTTCCTGTGTCTAACTAACTTTTAATGTACTAACACTGATGAGAGACTATTGACTATAAAAATGGGAAATTTTCACCTGTTCTCCAGTCTATTGAATCAATACTCCAGGTAAACTAGTCATGTATAATGTATTATTTGGATTTTAAAATTCAAATGGTTACAAAGACAAAATACAAGACCATGATGTACTATGAATACAAAAAATCTCTATATATAAGTAATCAATAATTGTTATAGGCACTACAATAGTAATGTAAAAAAGTAGTAAATGAATATGCTGTTTCTTTAAAGTGATTCACTAATATCTTTTCATTTGTTTTTATCTTTGTAGATCATTGCACATGATAGAGATCAAGCTGCTAAATTGACATATGAATTGAGTAGTGAAGGGAAACAATATTTCACTATTGATCCTATTACTGGTGTAATAACTACATTAGGAGGTGATGAGAAAGATGAAAACGGTAATTTACATAGTTTCAGTTTACTTGATCGTGAGAAAACAGAGAAAATCACTTTCTCAGTATGTGTTACTGATGGTACACCAACAAATGGTTGTGGTATTATTTCTTTAGATCATAATTCTCAAGTTAACAAAGAAGGAATAAGACAAAAACATTTACAACAATCAGTTGATACTTCTAATGATGATATTGTCCATCCAATATTTACGGCTTCCGCTACTGTGTTTGTCACAATTTTAGATGTTAATGATAATGAGCCACAATTTATAACGAAAGGACCTTTTTCGATCCATGAAAATCAACCACGTTTTACTCAAATCAATGGACGTCTTACAGCACTCGATGCAGATGCAGGAGAAAATGGACATGTTAGTTAATTAATTCAGTTTTGTGTTTTTATTTTTTACTGATTGATATATTAATGGAAGTTTTCATCAGTTTGAACTTTAAGTGATTCAAGTTTTTGAATTAATGAGTTCTTATAGTAGTTTATTTCAACTGGCCATCTCTTCGCTGGTATTGTTTGAATAGACTGAAATTTTTTTATGTGTTGAATAACTTGTTTTCGTATTGTTAATTTTAAGGGTTTGGATTTTTCAAAAATGCTTTTAATCAGTTTATATGATCATAACAGCCCTTTGAATGGAGGCATCGAAATAGAAGGTAGATGAACTGATATATTTCAAAGTGATCGGAACCTATATTCTAGTTTCCATTACTAGCCACAGTCCAAAAATCTGCCCATCCTTTGAATAGTACGTATTAACATGAGGTCGTGGAGATTGTTGAATTTCATTGGATTCAAGAACCGATCCAAGTTAAGACACCATTGGAGACCTGGAAGCACTAGACGGCTGTTTCTTCCTAGTATGAGACTGCTCGACAATACGCACCAATGACTTTTCAACCGAGAATCGTGTCCAGTGGAGTTCGACCGTGTTGAGTGTGAAGCAGTTACCCACCACTATCAATGAGAGAGGGTTGTGCAATATCATGAGCTGATTGAAGTTTAACATTAACACCGTTGGATGCCAACTCAGTGGTCTTAGGGTTGAGCTTTTGTGCTCAGGATCTGGAGCCCTGAGTTCGGTTACTGCGTGCATATTCGTAGATGGGCACTGGTGAGGAATCCCATACTAGGACAGAATGATCGTTTAATCCTTTCAGGTTCTCAATGATAGTCAAACTTTGATCGGTTTGTGATCTCGATGAATAATATATAATTCAAAAAGTATACTGAATGTGGATATATAATGATCATTTAGCCGGAACAACATTGTGATGCTGTCGAGATTTTTTTAGAGCACTAAGCCATGATAAAATATAATGAACTCTCACACGTATTTACACGTTCTTTTTTTTTCTTACATTTAAACTGACCACCGATACATTAAAAATACAATAAACCACAAGTTTAAACATGCTTACAACTAATTATCAATGAACCCCACAGTTAGAGACATGGATACATAAATATATAAGTGTATTGATCTGTGTTCAATTGGAAAATTATTCCTTTTTAAAAACCACCTTAAAGTTACTGATAATAATATTTAAAATGACTTGGCATTGTTCCATGTTGTATTAAGAATAGTCATAAGAAAGAGTGAGAGTGGTATGGTGGTACCACTGATAATAAAAATAATAATAATAGTACTAGTGTTTATGGTCTGTTAAATGTTACTGTGAAATTCAATGAATGACAATTAATTACCATTATTTATTTCTATCACCCTTTGTCCTCAATAACAATGTCTGATTTCGTATTAAAATTGTCGTAGAACTAAGCTAATAAAGTTAGATATTTCATATTTACAAACAGACATATTAAATCAGAAGGGGTTTTGTGGAGATTTTAGTCATTTCAGTAGTTGAAATTATAAGTTAAATGAAGCTAGACAATCATGGAAGACCTGAAAGCGTTGGACAGCCGTTTCGTCTTAGTATTGGACTCCCCAGTAGTGCACATCCAAGATCCCACCCCTCGCGAGATTCGAACCCAGGACCTATGAGTTTCGCGCGCGAGCACTTAACCAGTAAACCACTGAGTCGGACGGCATCCAACGGTGTTACCTTTTACACGTGAAGTTTATTGATAGTAACTAGTTTTCAAAACTGGACTCCAATCACTAACTTAATGACTGAAAGATAATTGCTTAACTCACTTAACCATCATCCAACCTAAATAACATTTTTATCGCTAATACAAAGTATATAAGTTGATTCTCAGTCGGTATATCGGGACTATCGCACAGATGGTGTTGTAGACTTAGTTGTAATTCATCTTTAGAAATAAATTGTCTTATTTATGAGTTGGGTTGGCGTTCTACATCACATTGTCAATAACTTAGTTTAAATTGAACTGGTTACTTAAGAACTATCTCTGTTATTGATTAGTTCTTGACAAATGAGCCCCCCCCAATGCTATGGTACGGCCGGGGGTCGGGGAGTCCGCTCTCTATCTCTATCTCGAAATGCTCTCACATGGCCACGCTTAAACAACTACTGCCACAGAAGTCCTACTCACTATCTTCTCGAGACGGTGGTGTTGTTTACGAAACTGAGAGAACGAAAATAGAGTATCAGGCGCTTTAACCGGGTTGAAGGGCACGGAGAGTTCACCTAGAGGAGTTGGAAAGCCCTGATTCCACACCAGTGTTGCACATGGGCTCCAGGATCTTGAAGGAACAAATGACGTATGAACCTATTGTTGGTTACCGACTACTATGGGATTGCATCCCCTGACGTTGCTCCACTACCTTGTAGATTAAACCTGTAGGTCAAAAGCTCAGAGAATGTCCCTCTAAGAAAGCCACCTGTTTCGGTTTAGACACTTGGACAGTATCACAGCCTTCACACAAATCAATGATAACTACTACTGATCTCATTGTAATTGTGTGGCGCATATGTATTTGGTGCATTATTATACCATTGTTCATATGTTCAAATAAATCAATCAATAAATATAACAACTGAATTCTTGCTATTTGTTACATAATCTATTATTTTAATTTTCCTATAGCCACTTTTATTTCTTTTTGTCTTATGATCACCATTTTGTTTTCAGAAAAAATACACCAGAATATATATATATATATATATATATATATATATATATATATATATATATATATATATATCACAGTACTTTATCTATTAAAACAACAATGTTCATCCAAGATAATCAATAATGTAATTCTCCTTTCATAAGTTAGATATTCGAAAGTCGTTTTTTTTCTCTCTCTCTCTCTAGAAGAACAACACACATATCTACTAGTACCACCATCTTGAAAAACTATGCAACATCTAAACTTCTTTCTTTTATACAATAATGTTCTTCTTAAATCTACTTGGGGAATATGAGTTATTCATGCCGACAAATGAAATCAGTACATGTGTAATTAATTTATTTAATTACAATTATCTATAATAAAAAAAAGACATAATCGATAGCTTAAATTGAATACCGACTCCATTATGCACAACAATTTCTTTGAAGTATCTGGTGTTCTTTCTTAATATTATAACATTGTACAATATGTATTTTTTTTTTGTTGTTGTTGTTGTTAGCGTAGTCTTAATCTTCAGTGATTGAATTCCTACACCGAGATTCAAGTTTGTTTTTGGTATTATCATGAATTGGCTGAATTCAATTGGTTATTGAAATCTTAACTTTGATGTATATATTTAGAAATTCGTAGGGATCATCAGTAGGATATATTGAATTGTTAATTCATTAAAGAGATGAGATTGTATATTGATCACATAGCAACACAAAAACAATTCAGCGATCATTCATAATGATTTGACTAAGAAATTAACTAACCTATGAATGATGTTACCCAGCAAAATTGTATTATTGAGTGGAATGTATGTTCAGAATGTAAGAAAATTCTATTGTAGTTAACCTCATATTTCATGGCTAACATAATGTAGTATGAAATATTTAAGTTAATTATTTTTATATTTGCCCCCCCCCCCGATTAACTTTAATCATTTTACTATAACAAGTAGATCGATCAGTGAACTCGAAATACATAGTTTCGTTGTATCAGAATCTCAGTAAATAAAATGGTACTTTGAAGTATCACTTAGTTTTCTAAGTTTTCAAGAAGCAATATTCTATTCCATTATGAAGGTGTTCAAAAGCATGTCATTTTCACTAATCTTCGTTTAGTTAGAATGTCCTTATTGACTGACCCACAATCACTTAACCAGAGTTTCCTATAAAAAAGATACAAATTTCTCAATATGTTTCACACAGATATATACTTTTTATTTCAGTATTTAATGTTAAATAGTCCTAACAACTAAATTTAACATTCATAAGTCAAGTTATCAGTCAGCATATGTGAAAGGACTGATTATCTGATTAAAATGTCAAACTAGTGGTTGTAATGGAAACAAAGCATCCATTGTGATTGTGTTCCCAACCAGCTGTCGATAAGTTCATAGTTTGAAAATATACTGACTCACTTATAAAGTGCTTTTGCTGAAAATACGAAACTATATAAGTGCAAATGTTGTTGGGGCTTCAAGAGAAAATCGGGTGAGACTATAGTTTCTAGACAAACCAATCATGTATAAGATAACAGGTCTCGGATTTTGGTGAGAAATTTACTTATCCATTTGGATAAATAGCGTTATGACCCTTTAGCTGATATCATCAACTATAAATCATAATTCTAATTTCTCACACAGGTTTACAACCCTCATTTGATCCTGATTATTAAGTGGACACTCTCAAGATCAGTTTAGTGTCGCTCAAAGATAGTCCATAAATTATAGTCTCATAGAAAGTCATCTCAAGAAATAGTCCTCGAGAAATAATATTCATCTTCCCTCTCTCTCTATATATCCTTTCATTGGTTACAATATAAACGATTCCAATTCACATTATCATACTTTTTCCATAAATGATTACCATCAATCTCTAGAAATTTTCTTAACTATTTTAATCGCAACATTCATTAAAAAATTTGTTGATAATTTTACTGAATAATTATATAGTAGTGTAAACCATACATACATAAAAACCGTTCTGATATAAATTAACATATGCTCACTAGTGACTGGCTTCAAGAGGTATTTCCTGGAGTTCTAATGAGAAGCAGTGATAAGTGGAGTTGAACCGAGTCTGTTGTGAGATAGTAACTCACAGAAGGCAATGGTGGATGTGTCGCTCAATTTCGTGGATTGGTTGAAGTTAGACATTAACAATGTTGAATGCCGATCGGCTCAGTGGTCTAGTGGTTAAGCGCTAGCGCGCAAGACTGATAGTTCTTGGGTTCGGATCTCGTGGAGGGCGGGATCGTGGGTGCGCACTGTTGAGCAGTCCCATATTAGGGCGAAACTGCCGTCCAGTACTTCAAGATTTTCCATGGTGGTCTAGCTTCAATCAACTAATCATCACAACTATTAATATCCACAAAAACCACTTCTCATATTAAATACTGAAATATTTTTCCAAGTTATATACTTACTAGTTTTAAGTATGTTCTATTCCACATGGATGAACGTTTGTAAAAAGTTCAAGTCACTATAAGTTACTCATACATTAATCCTTAATTTTCAGTTGTTGTCTTCTAATTGATATCATTTCGTGTTGGATATTATGTTCTAATTCAACAACTATTTCACGAATGATTGTTGTTAGCATAATATGTAGAGATTGTAGGACCTTCATGGTTTACATCACGGATTGACCTTAATTTAACAAGCATTTCAGGTCATGAAGCAATAAATATGTGGTTTGTCTTGGACAGAGACTTTTCAACAATCTTACTCCATGACCCTACAGAAGGTCGAATACAAGACATTCAGTCTCGTGGTGAGCAATTAACCTCTCAACCATTAAGCTGCTATTCAATTTTTGACATTGTGTAACCATCTCCTATTGCTCACAATAGATGGCTATCAACCTCTAATATGGTTGCACTCTCTTAGACATGGCTTTCCACTAGGACTCCAATGAGTACATGATTATTAGTAATATGGCGAGTTTATGAATATTGTTATCTTGGGGCTGTCGCAAAACCAAAAGGCCCCCAGTAGGATCCTGGATCTCCACTACCTATATAATACTTCTTGGCTTTCAATAGTTCTCCAACAAAGATTAGTCTTTAATGTAAACTAGGAAAATACAGCAATCTCTACTTACTCCTTATACTAATGGTTAAACAAGTATCTATTGAGGTTATTTATATGTCATAATCTATCATTTTCACAAATCATTTCATTCTTCCGTTATAATTCTTATCAAACTTGTTGTTAACTTATCATCATTATTATCATTACCTCTCTCCCTCTTCCTCTATCTCTCCCTTTTATCAAAATTTTTCGTCTGAAATAATAAATTCAAATACAAATAATCTAAAATATATAGTACGAATATGGTCCATTTAATTAAATGCAAATGAATGAATTGAATATGTTGTTACTACATAATAAAGGTATAACATAGAATAGTTTGTAGTATTTATGCAAATGAATCCATCATTCTATTTTGTTTGTTTGTTTGTTTTTCTCACTTTCGATTTCTATTCATGAGTATTATTATAATATCTAAGTAGTATGAATGGGCTAATTTATGCATTGCAATAACTCTATTCATCAATACTCACATCATTATTTCTATTCTGTTAACAAGTTTTACTTTATTCAACAACTGAATAAATAATGTCTACCACAGAGTATACAAAACTAATTTTCAACTTATCATTATTACTATTCTTATCGTTATTATTATACAGCAGAGAATGACCTTTTGACCCATACCTCCTTTCTTCTATTCTATACGTTTTTTTTTTCTCTTCTTCTTGACAGACACCTCTTCTTTCCAGTATAATTTAAACGCTTATTATTTATTGTCAACATTTTGTCTTTGTCTATCACCCACTCCTTGTTGTCGTTAGTCTTGTAGATTTCCATAATTTCTTGTAACACGCCTATGACACATATATATATATATATATATACAAAAATATGACCCTTTTATACTTCTTTTTTTTTAAAATATTCTATCCTAATTGTTTGTTATTTGACCCTAGAAGAAAATAGAAAAGAGTTTAGAATAATAAATGGAACAAATGGTGTTACCCCTTATGGCAATATATTCTCATCAGGTTTATCGTCTGTTTTGCCTGCTGAGTTTCTCTATTCCATTAATATATACATATAGAGAAAATATATATGTTTTTCTGTCCGATTAGGTGAACAGTTGTTGCACATCTACTCTAATTTCATTATTGTGCTTAGTTGAAATTGTCGTTTTGCATTAGTAATTATTATCTGATGAATTATCATATATGTATTTTTAAATGTCTGTATAGCTCGATTAAAACGAGTTACTCCACTAACGATGTCTATGTTAACTTATATATATATCACAATAGATGTAGACAATTTTCTACAGCGTAGCAACCAACATGTTGATTATTTGTGAATATTCATTTCATCTGTTTTTCTTTTCTTTCCAATATTCAACATCATCATTAATATAGTGTCAAATTACAGAAAAAGTGAGGGTAACAGTTTGATAATAATAATAATAACCAGAGAGGGGTTTGATGAATAGTGATTTAATAGTTGGATTTATGAGTCAATTGAAGCTAGACCATAATAGAAAACCTGGAAGTACTGGACGACTGTTTCGTCCTAGTACGGGACTCCTCATCAGTACACATCCGAGATCCCACCCCTCGCGAGGTTCGAACCCAGGACCTATTGTTAGGTTTGAAGCTTCACGAGTTCACTTAAATCTGCAAACGAGAACAAGACTCAGTGATCAAAGACCAGTAATCTAGCTATTGATGCGTTCCAGCCCAGCTACCTAGAATGAGAAGTCCAAGCTTGGTATGGAAAATAGATTCTGAAAACAGCCAGAAAACGAGCGAGCCCACAAACACAATTTACAACGTATATATACAAATATATATAACCGATATTGTCATGGGAGATTTTTAAACATTAATCAATGAGTTCATCAAGTGACTCCTATTTAATCATTTAATCGATAAGTTAATCGATATGATAAAATTACAAATATGAGTTTTGGGATATATCGTCCCCAACACCCATAATTCTCGGGAGCGAGCGCTTAACCTTGAGACCACTGAGCCGACCGGCATCCAATGATGTTGATATATAACTTCAACCAACTGACGAAATTGAGCAACACATCCACCATTGTCTTCAGTGAGTTGATATCTCACAACAGACTCAGTTCAACTCCACTGATTACTACTTCTCACTAAAACTCCAGGAACTACCTTTTGGAGACCGACAGTACTGAACATATGATGATTATAATCAAAGAGGGTTTTTTTATTGCTAATAATAATAATACACTAGAAATATGTTTTAATTTAATCGTTAACTTATGCTCAATTACCCTCACAACAAGTCAATTGTATTCAGCATAATTTTTAAGGCTTCGTGTGATGTCTATTCAAATGTTAAACAACATTTAAGGCGAAATAGTTTTTTCAACTGCAGATGATATAATCTTGAGTGGTTCTTTTTTTTTAAAGTCAGGTATACCCATTTATTAATTTTCAACTTCACGTTACATAACAGAAATTGCACATAGGTTACACTAATTAATGAGAATTTTAGCTACTCAAACTTTTGGGACATCAATTTTCTCTACATGAATTCATTGTTATAAATTTATTTTCTTTAAGTTTCTTCTAGTTTTCTGCTTTTATCTGTGTTCATTCAAACAACTTCGTAAAATCATCCTGAATCTAATCACCGAAAAACTCAAGAATTACAACAGTGGATCGTGTACATTCTTCCTCCGTCCCTTGGCAAGAGAGATGTGACTGTCACAGAACTCATATATTTAAATAATGAGGCAGCAAAAAGAAGTATTATGGGATTAAGACCGTTCATTCACATTAACACATGATCAGCATTTATGTATATATGTTTGTTGAGTTCTAATTTGGGATCATGAACCGATCAATGTAAGATCACTATTGAAAACCTGGAAGCACTGGATGGCCGTTTCGTCCCGGTATGGGGTTCCTAAACAGTGCGCATCCATGGTCTTGTATTCAGGACTCGAACCTAGGACCTTCGCTCTCTTGAGAACTCTTAACTTTTAGACAACTAAGTCAGGATCCAACGGTGTTAGTGTCTAACTTTAACCAATCCACTAGTGAGAACATGACAGTTATCATGTACTTCATTGTAATCATACATTTACTAATGAATAGTACCAGTATTATTATTATTATTATTATTACCGTAGTGCATGCTACTTATACTGGCAAGTATAAGTAGTATGCAGCACCAATCGGAAACTGAATGTTTGACAGTAGAAGACTGAATTAAAGAGAACAGGGAGGGAAACAGAGAGCAGTTGTAATGGAAGATGTGTAAAAAATGTATTTAATGTATGATTTTCATATTTTATAAAGGCACTCTGTAATTTCGTATTAAAAAAGAAGTTATTTCACCTGAGTTCTCTTTCACTACACTACTACTATGTCTGTCATTATTATATTTACAAGTAATCTATGCACTATTTACAGATTTTTACCAACATATTTCATCAAAAATATCAGCTTTACTTTATTTGTTCACGTATAAATGAATACCTCCCTTTATTAGGCTTGCAAACCTGTCATTGTAATGAATGATGTAACAAGGTACGAGGGTACAAAAATAAGCATGAATTGATGTTTCGTTCTGGTATGTAACTTCCAATTAGTCTACACCCAAAATCCTAAATGAGAATAAACCTTACAAACTTTAGTCCTCGTAGCAAACCTTTTATTCGCAAACCACTGTACTGAAATAAAATGGTTCATATCTCTATCTCCAGTTAATTCGCGATATTATACAACTAAAGCTCATTCCTATCAGTCATGCCTATTTCACACTTTATATTGTTGAACCACTATTCACGACTTTCCCTTAGAAAGTCAGGTATTACAAAATTATTTCATCTTTGATATTTTCATATATTCTTCTATATTAGGTCCGATACAGTCTTCGTCATATTTGGAATAGTGCAACTGGTATCCTTTCACCTGATCTATTTGAAGTTGACTCTGAAGGTCATATTAGAACAATGGAAGTATTAGATCGTGAACAAATTAATGCATATACATTAGAAATTGTTGCTTGTGATTCAGCATCACTTAATCCACTCTGCACAGAACTGAATGTTACAGTAACAGTATTAGATGAAAATGATAATAAACCTGAATGGCATTATCCTCATGCTCGTGATAAAGAAGTTAATATTACATCTGATTTACCTCCGGGTAGAATAGTTGCTCGTATATTGGCCATGGATTTAGATGCTGGAGAAAATGGACGAGTAGTTTATTCACTAATTGATCCACATAGACGAACTGTATTTCAAGTAAGATTTAATTTGTTTATTGATCATATTTATGAATATTTATTTCAGTTTCTAAACATCAATGGGAAGATTCAAACAAACAATACAAAAATGAATTAAAACTTCACTCCATTACACAAACTGGTGACTATCTGGACTCAGTCGTTAAGTGAATAGTCTGATGATGTTTGAAGCGAACTGTATTCGGTTCTAGTCTAGGAGTGAATATCAACTGTGGGATGCAGGTATATCCATCTGACGGGTCCAAAATAGGACGAAACGCTCATTCTAGATCCTACTGCTAGTCACCATCCATCTCTGCTCACAGTCATAATGTAAATATTTATATTGGGATAAAAAAATAATTACCAAATACATGACAACTTATGGGCATGATTATAAAAAAGAACATAACATGTAATTATAAGGAAATAGCTAATAGTACATAACATGAAAAGACATGAGTCATGACTTGTTTTTTTAAAGGACATTTGTTACAAAGAATTTAATGGTGTAAACCATCAAATGAAGATTAGTATTTTCTTAGATGAAGTACTGGTAATTAAGCTTTAGGAGATAAATATATCAGAATAAGGTTATTCTATTGTTGTTTCAGGGTACTTACAATCATTTAAAACTAATAAGAAGAAAATATCTAGAACAAAAACAAACAGAGAGCACGGAACAACATCAGAAAAAATTACTGTGATAAAAATGCCGTCATATATAGATATATATGTACTTGAATTCACTTGGTATTGTTTACTTGAATCTTCCCATTGAGGTTTAAGACTGTAATTGATCAGTCTGTTATGGGCATACGTGCATTCTGTGCGGATTGCCTCGATATTGCTTTAATTCACAAGCTTGATAAGCGAAGGTGGATAGTGGCTAACAGTGGAATTCAAGACGCGCGTTTCGTCCTATTTGGGACTCGTCAGCTGGATGTACCTGCATCTCAGAGTTGATGTTCACTCTGGGACTCAAACCCAATACCGTTTGCCTCAAACGCCATCGCGTTATCCACTGAGTCCTGATATTCACTTGCTTGCGCAATGGGGTGAATTTAAATTCACTTGGTAGTGTTTGCTTGAATACATCGCATCACCAAATATTAAATAACATTTGTACAAGATCTAGCCTAATGTGGCTGTGAATGTGAGATACAGTGAATTAATAGACTAGGCATAACTCAAGAATGTTAAATCTTATAATAATAATATATGGATCAAAATAAAGCTTACGATAAGGGGAACATGAATGTACACAGTTTAGCTAATTAATCATTATACAGCAAAATATATATGTATCGTATTGTTCCACAAATAGACCCGAAAGTTATGATTCATAATTCTCGTCGAGATATAACATTTCCTGAAAAAGGTTTTCAAGTCATGTCTTCCTAATACATAGAAGCAATTTATTAGTGTTACAGTTTAACAAAGTACTATGAAAAATATTGTGTGAACTTTCAAATACGTATATCATACGTGTTTTGTTTTTATTTATAATGTTGTATACAAAACAAAATTCATAGTTCTCTTTACTAACTAACTAACTAACTAACTAACTAACTAACTAACTAACTAACTAACTAACTAACTAACTAACTAACTAACTAACTAACTAACTAACTAACTAACTAACTAACTAACTAACTAACTAACTAACTAACTAACTAACTAACTAACTAACTAACTAACTAACTAACTAACTAACTAACTAACTAACTAACTAACTAACTAACTAACTAACTAACTAACTAACTAACTAACTAACTAACTAACTAACTAACTAACTAACTAACTAACTAACTAACTAACTAACTAACTAACTAACTAACTAACTAACTAACTAACTAACTAACTAACTACTTAACTAACTAACTAACTAACTAACTAACTAACTAACTAACTAACTAACTAACTACTTAACTAACTAACTAACTAACTAACTACTTAACTAACTAACTAAATAACTAAATAACTAACTAACTAACTAATTTGTGAAGTTTCTAAAAGTTCTGATTGTATAGTTTCAATCAATCCTATTCATATGCTATTTTATTAATTTCCTAGTATCATTATCACTAATGATCTGAGAGAAAGATTAATGCCTATATCTAATAATCAAGTTATATCCAGTATTCATCTGTTTCAAGATTTTTTAAAAATATATTTTTGCATTTCTTTAAAAAAATATCTCTTATCAGATTGATAATGTTACTGGAGAGATTTCAGTTGTAAAGAATAATTTGAATGAAATGATACGAAATGGAGAAAGTCCATATACATTAGATGATTCCGTTGAGTCTACTCCATTGCTTCCCGGTGTGTATCGACTTCGTTTGCGTGCTTCAGATATGGGACATCCTGAACAGGCTACAGAAACTTGGCTTCAGGTAGGTTAAAAGTTGATTTAGATGATATTTTATAGTTATTTAAACTCTCAGTGAAATTATTAATTAAAATGGTGCAGATAACTTTTATGTATGTGGAGCAATAGATAAATAAGGGAAGGTTTACAAGTATTGAATAATTCTTTTCTCCGAGGGAGCGGATTTTCAAAGAAACACTCTTGACTCGTAATTTCAATATGAACCAATTGTTCAGTAAACGATGTTAAACATTTCATGATTAATATTGAGGTGCATCACTGATATTAGTAGCTATTCATTAATATTTACAAATCAACTTTTTATAAGATGAATACTCAGCAGTATTTATCAGTAAAGTAACTGATATAGAGGGCCAGTCAGAAGTAACCTAATGAGAAGGACAATCGATGATAATCAAAGGTGATCTAAAGGACAAGTGCATTTCATTGGCTAAGAAATGGAATAATTTCTTAAGGATTAAAGTGGTATATACATGAATGAGTATTTGTGCAATTCATTCGGTATTCAAATACACTTTCTTGCTTACTCCTGTGTTCTCGCTCAGTTAGCCAGATGAGGGATTAGTGCGTAGCAAATCGTGTACCAGTATCAGATTTTAGACACCACCCATTTCTTTCTATTATGCTTCTAGGTTTTCAATGGTGGTCTAGGTTAGACAGACTCATAAATTCTACCATTAAAATTACTACAATCTCCGAAATTCTCCATTCTGACAATAATCATGTGAATATATTCAAGATGGATTTCCTGGAGTTTTTGTGAAAAGCTGTTATCAGTGAAGTCTAATCTATGTTGAGTGGAGGTAGTTATGCACTTCAAACATTGGATAAGGGGTTGCTAAAGACCATAGATCGATTAAAGTTAAATATTAACAACATTTAATGCCAGCTTAGTAGTCTAAAGGTTAGGAGTTCGCACATGAGACCGAAGGTCCTAGGTTGGTATCCCTTTAGTCCGGGATCATGAATGCTCAATTCTGGAGAGTCTCGTACTAGGATGAAACGACTGTCCAGTGCTTCCAGAATCCTAACAGTGGTCTAACGTAGATCAACTTATGAATTCAACTATTAAAATTCTTTATTTATATATAGGCTAACGAGATAGTACTTGATTTGTTTTCTTTTTTTTTACTGACTCACTGTTTTGTTTTTGTTTTTTCCTTCCATTTATGTTCCTTGAAAAGAAAGCACTCCATTAATTATAGTTAAATCTATAAACATAAATTAGTGTTCTAATTAAAACAAATGATCTATGAATAAATATTTTAAACAAAATCAACTACCTTTTGAATTTTCTAACTCATCAACTTGTCAACTAATCAACTTCGTTTATTTTATCTGGTATATCATCACATTAGTAATAATGAGCATTAGTTGAATTAATGAGTCAATTGAAGCTAGACCACCATTGAAAACATAGAAGCACTGGATGGCATTCGCACGCGACTGATAGGTCTTGGGTTCGAATCGAGATCGTGGATGTGCACTGCCACTGAGCAGTCCCACAATAGGACGAAACGGCGGTCCTGTGCTTCCAGACTTTCTATCGTAGTCTAGCTCTAATTGACTCATGAATTCAACTATTAAATTACTAATAATATCCACAAAACCCCTCTCTGATAGCAATTAGATAGTTTAATATGAATAAATGAAAAAGAAAATTAGGCACAATTATAACGAAAGATACTATTAGAGATATTTTCTTTACATTGATTTATGCGATTATAATAACTCGTAATAACAACTAGGGTGCCTTATAGTGTAGGTTATTATGTTAAGCCAATATACCTTATTCCAGCTTAAGGATAGGTCAATCTATTCAATTCTACTTGAGTCACATTTTGACCTTGTTAATTATTCACTTATCAACATTGTTTTCATGTAAGCGTATGTGTGTACACTTCTTATCCCATTCATTACATGTTTGTAGTTTATTTTTGTGTAACTATAAATATATTGATTAACACTTGATTAAAGGGAGTTGGTTCACACGCCTTCTCCACCGCGCATCGTTTCGTTTCATTTCTTTGGTCGTCTGTCTGGATCAATGATTGTACAAAATATATGTAGTCGGAATCCATTCTCGTATTTGACTTATTTAATTCCATTATTCACTAACGCGATCTAAGTCAATTATTAAATACAAGGATTGATAATATGTATATCTCAATAGCAATCAGAAACGATTTCACTGGTGTAAGATCTCGGGCCACTAAAACCTTATTTCATCATTCGTTTTCTGTACACATAGATTGAATGTATAAATAAATGAAGTACAGTTCATATTTGTGCCAGACAAAATTGGTGTCATACAATCATTCTCTCTCTCTCTCTCTCTCTCTCTCTATATATATATATATATATATATATATATATATATATATATATATATGGGTTGACAAATGAATCGATTGTATACTAATATTCATTTGGTTTTCATGTGTACCAAAATGTTTCCAAACTTTAACATACTTTAATATACGTTTGTGCAGTGACAATAACATATAAATGTATATGTGTATCTTTGTAAATTGTTGTTGTTCTTGTTGTTGAATGTCTGTTATTTGGCCTGTACACTTACGAATCATCGACTGATAAAATACAGGAGTAATTAATACAACTAAATGTGATGCTTTGATCATGAAAACAATTGCTTAATCAGAACTAAATAGATTTGAGAAAAAACAAGACGCCCAAGCTACCGAATAAATATCTAGTGCATACTAGTGAATGGCTTCAAGAGGTATTTCCTGAAGTTCTATTGAGAGGCAGTGATCAGTGGAGTTCAATCGGGACTGTTGTGAAGTAGTAACTCACTGAAGACAATAGTGGATGTGTCGCTCAATTTCGTGGATTAGTTAAACATTAACACCGTTGGATGCAGGTTAGCTCAGTGGTCTAAAGGATAAGCGCTCGCGCACAAGAATGATAGGTTCTGAGTTCGAATCTCACGAGAAGAGATCGTGGATGCTCACTTCTGTAGAGTCTCATAGTCGAAGGAAACGGCCATCCAGTTCTTCCAGGTGTTTGCTGATTGTTTAGCTTCAATTGACTCATAATCTAACCATTGAGCTTACCATAATATCCACAAAAACCCTTCTGATATTAAATAAATATCTATTGTGTATTAATAAGTTTGTCATTTATTCACAAAATATTTATTTACCTATAATTTATCAGGTGAATATCAAATGATTCAGTAAGCATGATTCTTCAATATTACTCGTATCAATCTTTAACCTATTTACATTAGTGTGATCTTTATTTCTGCTGTTGTCAATTAAGCACTAAATATTTATTCTTGAATTTATACTTTCTTAATTTTCAGGTCAATGTATTTGGTTCAGATTCAATAACAAACGCGGGTTTAAACTTTATGATTATCATAGTGATGATTGCAATAACTGGTCTAATCTCGGTTTGTCTTGTGGTTGCCATTATTTGTGTTCGTAGACGATCTTCACTACAATGGAATCGACCACAAGCATATCCACAGGCGAATGGCTTCCATAGAGGAAGAAGTGCAGGGGATGGAGCTGAGGGTTCAATGTTCCCATTGAAACATGAGTATAATCATCCATTAGAGGGTACTGGTTATATGATGAGTATTAGTCCGACTCCTTCTGATTTGGATGCACTTAAATTAGGATATCAAACTAACGGAGGTAATTATTTGGATACTTTGCACTCAGCCTCTGATATGCACCCTTATGGTTGGAATAATCCTAATTCCCCTCCTGGAGCGTACTATTCTGCCGGCTCAGGCCCCGGAGGTATAAATACCACTAAAAATTATCCTTTCTGCTCTCTTCCTATGGATCAAAATATCTCAAACCCAATGGGAACACTTCATTTGCCTTTATATGCTCCAGCTAATCGAATTACTCCTACATTCCCAGCTGAATCGGGCACCTTTATGCGTTATCCAGCATACAATGTACAATCGCATTTAGTAGGAACATCTTCATGTCTAAACTTTTCTCCTTGTTCAGTAAGTGGTACTGATCAAATCACTGCACATACAAGTGCTGTATCAAGTTTTACAGAAGTACCAGGTGATTCAACAGTCACGACAACAACATCACCAACAGTCGGACAAACGTTGGATGAGTTAAGAGAAACAGAAATATGCAACTTAGGCTCTTGTGATTCAAGGGATCCTTGTGAATGTGAACAGAATGCTCCTTCAGCTCCGAGACAAATGTATACAGTAAGTAGTTTAAGTCTTTGTTAGTCTTTTTCATTGAATAATTTTTGTTAAATGCTGTCCACTTCCACAGTGAAATTTTGGATTTCTCACAACTTCTAAGATAACACTAAAAATTACTGAATGTGATATCTAAAGAAACGATGACATGGTTTAACGAAATATGCTGATAAATAACACACATAATTAAACATTATCTAGATCTGCTTGAAAATAAGCTGTATAACTGTCTATAGTTTTGACAATTTTGATTTACCGTCAGTTAATTTCGTTAACCAATTGGGTTAGGGACTAATCATTCATTTCGTTGAGACATTTACATACATTGCCAACTGTGCAATGGTAATGAAATGTTTGAAATCTTAAACTTTCCTCCCTACTTATGTATGTAAAACATTTCCAGAACTGAGCAAATGAAGCTTGTAATTTGTCAGTAGTGTATGAAGAAAACAAAAGTTTCTACGATTAGATCTGTGTTTTAGGTTTTACTCAAAATGCTAATTCAGTTTATTCGCCTACTAACATGATAAGTTATATAGTTTTCAGTAATGTCAACATTTTTACTGTCAAGATATTTCAGACAACTGATGTGAACAGCTACAGGAATTCGGAACAGGTGATGTTACTACTGGCGGAATCCGACCTGAGGCCTCCCTGCAGCGCTACTGGGTAGTAGGAAAAATCTTGCTAGCTAACTCGGTCAGTCTGCGGAGGTCGGACTAATCCACCACTCTGCTGTAAATGGAATTTAGTGGGTTCCACTTTCTGGAGCTCCTTAGAATCTTGCGGGCTGCCCTGTTTGTGTGCTTATGTATATGAATCGCATGAGTCTCAGCTTGTGTGGTTTATTTACGTACGTATTTGCAAACGGTACGCACGAGGTTTAGCACAAGGAAAGCAAACTGGAAAATGTTTGCCCTATCCCCAATAAAATCTGCTGCCTAATACTTCAGGTCGAAGACATAACAAAAAAATATGGTAAAAAAATACTAGGGAGAGGCGACCATCAAACCTTCTCCAAATTAGTGCATATCTTTATGCGTATCATGAAGTGCAGCGACGAAAGTCTTTGTACCAATAATATGTATGTAATGAGTAAGTGACCGTTGTAGTGAATACGTTTAAGAGAGCGGTAACTGTCTACCCGCTCAGATGGGTGAATATACCCATACCTATGCTGTAGGATGCATAGGTGAAAACTTGTTTGTTACCGGTGTACATGTAACGTATATTTGCTCACAGGGTAAGTATACCCATGTGTATTCCAGTGCATGGATGGGTGAAAACTTATGTGTTACCGGTATTCATGTAGATCATCACTTGAATTACTTATACTAGTTCAGTATTCATCTTAATTTAATCTCTCTGTGCTAATGTGGTATATCGCCCAGGACAGGGTTGGATGGAGAATGCTGGTGAGCGGCTTATGCTCTTCCACGAAGAGTAACATGCGTAAGTAAATAAGTAATGTGGTATAAGAACTTAGATAGACGATACACATTGGTTTTAAGCTCTACACTGATTTTGATCAACTAATAGTAGTATTATAATCTAAGCTAGTGGCTCAACGGTTGAAACACTTGACTTCCAATTACTGGATAAGCTGATTTAAAACTTTATATTCTACTAGTAATATCACTAACCATTTATCAATGAACTATAGCTATTTTTGATGAGAGAATAATTTATGGACGACCTTTGGGCGACGCTAAAATGACCTCGAAATTGCTCATTTACTTACTAGTGTTAAATGAAGGTTATAGGCCAATGCGAGGAATTCAGATTATGATTTAGGGTTTATCATCACGAACTAACATCAGCTATAATGCCAAAACTCTGTTTAACCAAATGGATGAATGAATTCTGCGCTAAAATCCAAGACCTATTATCTTAAATTTGATTGAACCGTCTATAAATTATAGTCTCGTTGAATATTTTCATACTAGAAAGTTTCGTAACTTGAAACTTATAAGATATACAAAAATGGATAGTGGCTAGCAGTGGAATTCAGGACGCGTGTTTCGTCCTATTTGGGACTCGTCAGCTGGATTTACCTGCACCTTAGAGTTGATATTTCCTATAATGCTTGTGAATTAAGGCTTTATCGAGACAATAAGCACTGTATGCACATATGCCAATAAGTGACTGATCAATTCCAGTCCTAAACATCAATGGGAAGATTCAAACAAACAATACCAAGATATACATTATATAAGTGACAATTTATCGAAGGAATATTGCTTCCTTCTCTTATTCCCTTGAGCTGCTATTGCTTAAATCTATTCATGTTTTCAATATATGAATTCTTTTGGGTTTTTTTCTAAACACTGATTAACCTTTGGCCTTTTATATTATGTTTTACGCACGACCAACCATTTTTAATGATTGTTTTTTTCCTATCTACTCAAGCGTATATAACATCCTTTGTTTAGAGATGATTATCATTTCCTCTTTGACAAATTTCACTAACGTATGCTATATACATCATTTACATAATAAACCTATTTAACCTTTAAAGTATAATGAGGAGGATATTGTGAAGAATGCTTATGTTGTAGACAGGATATAATGAGGAAATTAATTAATTAAAATCCATTTGTATCAGGTAAAGAAAAAAACGATTTTTTCTCTCCCTAGAGGATAGGAAAAACAAAATCGTAAATACTTAGCGCTTTACATGTTATGATGAAGTTAACTGTTTACTTACTTACTTACGCCTGTTACTCCTCGTGGAAGAGAATAGGCCATCCACCAACACTCTCCAACCAACCCTGTCCTGGGCAATCCTTTCCAGCTCTTTTCATTTGTTATTCATCCTTTTCATATCTGCTTCTATTTCCCGACGTAGTGTGTTCTTTGGCCTTCCTCTTTTCCGCTTCCCTTCAGGATTCCAGGTTCGGACTTGCCTCTTGATGCAGTTTAGTAATTTTCGTAATGTATGTCCTATCCATTTCCATCGTCTTTTCCTAATCTCCTCTTCAGTTGGATGCTGGTTTGTTCTCTCCCACAGTAGGCTGTTGTTGAGTTAAGTGTTTGAATGATATCAATCAAAATAGTTGTTTCTCGATTTTGTATGATAACCTTTTAAAATTTACTCTATTATTATTATTATTATTATTATTATTATTATTATTATTATTATTATTATGGCCACTGAACGTTGAAGTACCGAGATAGTTTGTATAGTTAATGTTTACATAGATAATTAGTTAAGTAGCTTTATTAACCTCATGCAAGTCATGCTATATAATGCACCCTTCCTGTTAACCTTAATTTCATTTTTATGAACTTTTAAAGTTATGTGTTCATTGGTGAATGTTAGACAACTACAGAACCTCTCTACATCTTCGTTATTACCAACTGTATTATTTCGACAGTGGTAGTATGAGGAAATGATCATTACAGTCGCTAACAAACTTTGGACTTACGTTTCATGGTGGTTGGTACTCATCAGCAAGATTTGCCTCTAATGTTGAAGAGAGTAACTCTCCCTGAGTTATTCAGCTTCCTAAACTGAGAAGTCAGCACTGAGCCATTCTGAGTGAAATGTCTTCCAATCGGACACTACACTATTTGATCGCCGAGGATTGATTAGTGTCATACTTGTTGAGTCCTTCCGTGATGATTGAATTATGTTGATCAGGTTATAATGTGGCTACTAGTTTGAGGTTAGGTGTTTATAGTTACCTATCTATGCGCCCATTTTTGTCTTCACCTCTTTGATCTACCAACAAGTTGGTATCTAAAATCCAACTAATTTGAATAGGATATGACGAACAGTAATTATTTAGACCATTTAAAATCCATATTCAAAGCTAAGAAGGTTCAGTTATTGGAAAATTGAACTACTGCCCAATTTACTTGTTAATACTGAATAATTAGCTTACTGTCTATTTAGAACGTGTTTTTTCAGGACAATAATTGTGAAACAGTAAAAAATCTTTCATGATTGGGTGCAGTTCTGCATATTTTGCGAATTTCAACTATTTATTTATCAGTATAGGGTTGTGGAGATTGTTGAGTTTTTGATTGAGATCATGAATGGATCAATGTTAAACCACCATTAAAAACATGGAAATACTGGGTGACCGTTCCGTCCTAATATGAGACTCCTCACCAGTGAGCATCCACGACCCCTTACGCGGGACTTGAACCCAGGATCTGTTGGTTTCGTGCACCAACGCTTAGTCTCTAGACCACTGAGCTGGCATCCAACGGTGTTAATGTCTAACTTTAACCAATCCACGATATTGCGCGACCGTCCACCATTGTCTTCTGTGAGCAACTACCTCACATTAAACATGGTTGAACTCCACTGGTCACGACTTCTCACTAGAGCCCCATGAAATCCATCTTGAACCCAGTCACTAGTGAACATATGATAATTATCATTATAGGATTGTAGAGATTATTGTGTCTTGATTGAGATTATGAATGGATCAATGTTAGACCACCATTAAAAAGATTGATTGCACGGGAGAGTTTTTTCTAAAAGAATTAGGTCACTTGTGAGGGTTGTTTGAATTTGCCCATTGGTATTAAAGATTAGAATCGATCAGTCTCTGTTGATATATCTGTGCATCCTATGTGGTTCACCTAGATATTCTCACTAGGTTACAATCATTTTTATAGATACAGTTGGATAATGGTTAGCATTAGAATCTTGGACATGGATTTTCTTGTGTTTAGAAATCACGTTTTTAACTTGATAATACTCCGTTGAGACTTCATGATGATCGTCTAGAGCATATCAAATAATGGCCATACTAAATACTGATTTTCATTTGTGCACTTTCAAGAATACTGAAATGTATAGAACATAATGTTTTAAGGTGTCGATCAGTAGAACAGTTTACTTTTATCAATGGATAAATCGTACACTTACTCTATTAAATGGTTATCGACCACAGTGAACATTTCCGAAAACACTAAATAACAAACAATAAATTTATTTTTTCATAGAGATTTTTGAGTTTCCATATCATAAACCAGGAAGCATAAGA